AGGTAGTGTGAGGTGAAATTGAGAGAAGAATATAGCAAAAAAAAAAAAAAAAAAAAAAAAAAACCACAGATTAGCATGGGAAAAAAAAAAGCATCAGGGACACCGGCAAACCAAGGGCCTCGCTGCGCTACTGTCCAAATGTGCAAAATGAGAATGAATATTCCGCTAGAATGTCGAAAGATACATCTTCATATTTTTTGTCTTTTGCAGGGAGGCCCCAAGAAAACCCCAAAACAAAAGCAAACGAATCTGTTTTTTTTTTTTTTTTTTTTGGGGAAAAAATCCATTCATTATCATAATGAAGTCTCAAATCGAGGCCGTGCCGGGGCCTCACATTGAACCCGGAGTTATCCCGGCAGCATTCGCTGGTTTGGCTTTTTACAGGACCCAGAGGGGACCTGGGAGAACACATTCAAATCTGTGACTGTTCTATCTCTCTATCATCCTTGTGGGTCCTGTATGGCGTCCGCTGCGCACCAGCGGAGTTGAGCTCCCTGGGACGGATGTTCCTCATAGTGTAGATCATCTCTACAGTAAAAGAACAAAAACGGCTTGTACTTCTGCTGCTCTAGCTAGCAATGTCACTGCTGCATCTCTCATACCACTCACTAACACCGTTGGTACTTGTTGTTGGAGGATCGAACGTTCCTACATTCTGCTCTACTACTGCCGGGCTAAGCTTGTGAGACTAAGGGCCTCCCGTTCGACACAACTTGGAAATTGCGGTTTTTCAAGGAAGCATCGTTCGACTCCGCCCTAATCACGCACCCTTGAAGTCGCTAATTGTTTCCACGTCCCCATGGCCAAGTGTCCGCCCTTGAAACGGAAGTGCGGCGCAGGCAAATCGACGAAAATCCCAAGGGTGCCTCGGGAGGTCACGTGGGGCGCAAGGGTTTCACCCTTCAAAACGGGTATTATACGGACCTTTTTCTTTTTTCCTTTTTTTTTCCACCAATCACCACTGTTCCTGGTGCAATGCTGTCAGCACTTCAGTTCCAAGGGCGGCCGTCTCAAGGGTTTTGTCAAGGGGTTGTGGAACGAAAAAACGAGTTAGGGGAACTTAATCACCCTTCGTGAGTTAGGGTGCCCTTGAAACTCAAGTATTTTCAAGTGGTG